TAAAATTTCTTGACTTGTAATTTGTATCTGAAATGCTTATTTTTTATTTTTGGTGGAGAGTTGGTGATGCAAGTTCCATCATATACTGGTTGGGGTTTGAGTCTTATTGAAGTTTTTCGAACTTTTGGCCAAATGGAAGCAAAATTTAGTCCTGTCTTATCTACTCTGCATTGCCTTCATCTTTGTTTGATTAACTAGGATAAGTTCTTTCTTAGACCTTCGCAAAAGCTTATTCCACTTTGCGGGAAGTTTATAGAAGTCAGATTATGTTTGGTTGTGCTTAAAAGTTACTTTCATTTTCTTTCATGTTCAAAAGAAAATTACAACTTAAAGCTTGTTTGGTTTAGATTTTAAGCCAATTGAAATCAATTTTTTGACCGTTATTTCACTGTTTCAGCCGTTATTTTTAAATTTTTCTTTTACAGGTAAGATCCACTTATCTCTAACAGTCAAAAAATCAATTATCAAAATTCCTACCAAGCAATCACTTAATTTTTAGAGAAGTAAGTTTTGTTATTAAAAAATTCTTACTTCTTAAAAATTATGTTTAGCAAAGTAACATAAAAACATACTTGTAAGCACAATCATATATGTTCTAAACCTGGTTGGCCAAGGCTTAACCCCAGTGGTACGAACAAAGCTTTACCAGGCTGATGACCTAGATTTAGCCTCCCTTTCGAGGGGAGGGGTGAAAACCATTGATCTCCCTTTTTCATGTTTTTTGAGGGTGGGGGGGTGAGGGACTAGACATCCACTTTAGGCTTTTTTTGCATAGCGTATTGTGATTTGATCATAGTACTGTCATTAAAATATTGGCTTTTGGATGGGATTGCTTAGATTTTTAAGATCCTGCTCTGCTACTCTCTTATTTTAAAGTGACAACTATTATAAGAGCGAGGAGGAGAAATATTAATTGAACCATATTTGGACGTAACTTAGTTCTCTTCAATGAACTTGGTGATCATGGTTTGCTAGGTCCCACATGAAGGACCAATGTGTGATCTCTTGTGGTCTGATCCTGATGATCGATGTGGGTGGGGCATATCACCCCGTGGTGCTGGCTACACCTTTGGACAAGATATAGCTGCCCAGTTCAACCATACAAATGGCCTCACTCTGATTTCAAGAGCCCACCAGCTTGTCATGGACGGTTTCAACTGGTGTCAGGTTTGTGTATTTAAATAAGATAATCTTCTCCCACGTTCCTCTGCCTAAATATTATTTTTTCTATTTTCTTCTGAATTTTCAGGAGAAGAATGTAGTAACGGTTTTTAGTGCTCCAAACTATTGTTACCGGTGTGGAAACATGGCTGCAATCCTCGAAATTGGAGAGAACATGGAGCAGAATTTCCTTCAGTTTGATCCTGCTCCTCGACAAATTGAGCCTGATGCAACTCGCAAGACTCCGGATTACTTTTTGTGAACTCAATGCCTCGATCTGCTGTTTGTAGTCCCTGCTTGCGGTTACGTTACTGTAGATGTGTCTTAAGAGATGAATTTTGTTATTTGAGGATTATTTTCTACATTCCTTTGTTTCTACTGCTGCTGCTGACTTCGATTATGTGCTCAACATATTTCCCAGAGATGTGACGGAGGCATGCGTCTTTTGGCTTGTATATTTTTTTCCCAAAAGGAGGAAGTAGCTATTACTTGGTATAATTGTATTCTGTAATTTACAATTTATTGTAGGAAAACAGATTTTAGCACCATACAGCCGATTTCCCATTTATAACTCAAGTTGCTGAAAGTACTTCGGTCATGGTAAAATAAATATTTTGGACCCGACATTTGGATGAAGGTTGTGCAAATTTGAAGATATTTCGTAGGTTGAAGAGATTATGCAGGCAGTTTCTCCGGCAAGCAACATGCCTGAATTTTTTTTTTCCTCCACTGATTTTCTTGAGTATGTGTAGGACAATTATTTTTCATGGATATTGAACTTGGGATTTCACTTCTCTTTACCCACTGAATTTTTAAGGTTTCAAAATTTTCGAGTAAATTCCATGTAATTACTAAAACAAGTCTTTTTTGATCTGCTGACCGTGTCTTTGTTTGACAGACTGTTATTGAATTTCACGTGGTTTTTTCTACAGTGACCTACCTAATTTGATAGAGAACCTCACATTGGCGTGGGAACCCACGCTGACCTCATTTGAATAAAAAATGTAAAAAATGACAGCTCACTCACCCCGACTGTGAGCGTAGGTTAGCCAGGGGTGTCAAAATAGTTCTGGCACCCAACAGGATTGTTTTATAAATCGGCGGCCACCAAATGAAAGTCTATTTGCAGATGTTATAATGGTTAAATCATACTTTTTTGCGCGGGAAATTTTGGCTATCGTGGAACCCAAATATAAAACTCCTGGTTGGGTCATTTGGGTACGAATAGCACCCTTATAACTTTAAAAAGTTATAGAAGGAATAACAATGACTATTTTGGTAATCGACTCCTTTTTCTCCATTATATGTAAGTGTGCTTCAATGCGCCTAGCCATGAGGTAAACTTAGAAACGCTACCTTCAGTGTAGTTTATAGATGTTACGAAAGAACCTGTATGGCCAAATTGGCATATGCAGCCAACAATCCACCAATCCAAATATCAGCAATCTTACAGAGCCTGAATATTATAAAAAAGAAAAAAAGTTGATTGTAAAGGCAAATGGTTTGATCGGGAGCAACATTTTTCTCCAAAATCGCTTTTAACCACACATTTTATGTGATTGAGACAACAAATTGGACTAAAACTATTGTACGGACCGACAAATGGATACAAGCAGCATATGAGTAATGTGTGTATCTGAACGAAAATACAAACATGTTTCGACTTATGATAAACTAATAGAAAAAACACTTGTTGACAATTAGTAATAAGAGCATATGAGAAGATTTCAATGTCACTTTCCCATCTCTTATGCTTTAAAATGGAAGACATAAAAAAGAAAAAAAAAAAAAATCTTCAAACATATATGAGTAATTACAAATTACAAAACTGATTTTCTTGAGTATGTGTAGGACAATTATTTTTCATGGATATTGAACTTGGGATTTCACTTCTCTTTACCCACTGAATTTTTAAGGTTTCAAAATTTTCGAGTAAATTCCATGTAATTACTAAAACAAGTCTTTTTTGATCTGCTGACCGTGTCTTTGTTTGACAGACTGTTATTGAATTTCACTTGGTTTTTTCTACAGTGACCTATCTAATTTGATAGAGAACCTCACATTGGCGTGGGAACCCACGCCGACCTCATTTGAATAAAAAATAACAGCTCACTCACCCCGACTGTGAGCATAGGTTAGCCAGGGGTGTCAAAATAGTTCTGGCACCCAACAGGATTGTTTTATAAATCGGCGGCCACCAAATGAAAGTCTATTTGCAGATGTTATAATGGTTAAATCATACTTTTTTGGGCGGGAAACTTTGGCTATCGTGGAACCCAAATATAAAACTCGAGGTTGGGTCATTTGGGTACGAATAGCACCCTTATAACTTTAAAAAGTTATAGAAGGAATAACAATGACTATTTTGGTAATCGACTCCTTTTTCTCCATTATATGTAAGTGTGCTTCAATGCGCCTAGCCATGAGGTAAACTTAGAAACGCTACCTTCAGTGTAGTTTATAGATGTTACGAAAGAACCTGTATGGCCAAATTGGCATATGCAGCCAACAATCCACCAATCCAAATATCAGCAATCTTACAGAGCCTGAATATTATAAAAAAGAAAAAAAGTTGATTGTAAAGGCAAATGGTTTGATCGGGAGCAACATTTTTCTCCAAAATCGCTTTTAACCACACATTTTATGTGATTGAGACAACAAATTGGACTAAAACTATTGTACGGACCGACAAATGGATACAAGCAGCATATGAGTAATGTGTGTATCTGAACGAAAATACAAACATGTTTCGACTTATGATAAACTAATAGAAAAAACACTTGTTGACAATTAGTAATAAGAGCATATGAGAAGATTTCAATGTCACTTTCCCATCTCTTATGCATTAAAATGGAAGACATAAAAAAGAAAAAAAAAAAAAATCTTCACACACATATGAGTAATTACAAATTACAAGATACCCGATAACGATAAGTTATTGTTTTGAAAGGGAGAATGCTAAACACATTCAAATAAGTTTCCATTGACAAAAAAGAAAAGATAACATCAGCAAAATAAACTCTGTATATAGGGCAATTACAGTTTACTACCATTGAATGTCAAAGCAGGCAGTACCTTAGAAGAAAACTTAGCAACAAGAGGTAGAACTGTTGGGGGAAAACTCACAGCATAAGATGACATCATTTGTTGGGACTAGAAGTATGGGTAAGACTACTCTTGCTAAGAGTATTTGTAGGAGTGTAAGAAATAGGTTTGATTGTTCGGCATAATTTTTCCGATTGTTCCTCAGGCTTACACATTTGCTATTTCTAGAAAAAGGCTTCCTTACTCGTGGCTCACAAGAGAAAGACTACTAAGGCAAAACAATCAAATCTAGTTGGTAGATTCCTATAAATTCTCTTGGCAAGGTAGTCTTACCCACACTTATGTTCCAACAATTGATATCATTCTACACTCTAAGAACTCACTCAACAGTATTGACACATTTGCAACCTAGAAACTGCCTTCTTTGATGTTCAACAGTCTCTTGATCAATGACTTCAATCACACTCGAGGATGTCGAATGCAGGTGATCACATCACAGCCAAGGAGCACTTTTTGTAACTTTCTTTTCTCTCCTGCAAATAAGAGTTTTTCATGTTTGAACCAAACAATTGCTGTACTTGGATATCCTCCCTGTGAAATCTTCAATATTCCAGTATGTTATGAATCACCGAGCAGATGTCTTTCCACCACTAAATTATCGATGTCAGCAAGCTTTTTGATGGTACAGGTCCTTTTCGTTAATTATGTTAGCAAAACCTGCATTATTAATAGTTTTTGCAATATTCTTAGCAATAGATTTATTCTCGCGGCACGTCGAACAAAATACTTTTCAATTTACTAGTAATTAATGTCAATTATGGAAAAGTTAACAGGACATATTGAAGATCAAGAAACCAGTAGACAACAAATATTGCAATTTAGAAAGTAAAAAACTAAGGATGATGGACACCCAATAACAACATTTCCGTGCTAAGCAGCAAAATCCGGTCAAGGGATTCAATACTCACCAGAATATTGCAGACTTCACTTGGGCGAAATGCACGAACAATAACTTTTTGAGCAAAATTAACATTGTATATTAATGAAGAAAAGCTTATGCTGAACCAAGATATTTCGTAGACAATGTTCATTTTTTTAGTTTCTTGTTTAGAAATTATTATTCTTACTCAATATTGACACAATCTATTTTTACTTCATAAAAATTCCAGACAATGTGTAGAATCAACTACATCTACTCTGAACAATTTTCTTTTAATGAACTAGACACAAAAACAAATAATCACACACACACACACACACACAAACTCACTATTATCATTATAATAAAAAATCAACATCACTATTTCACAAATGTTTTTTATTAAAAAAATTATTAAAACTAATATGTACAAGAGCAACCCATTTAATCGCCTTTAAAAATTTATAATAACCATCTGATTAACTAACAGACAAGTGCACAAGGTAATCATTTAAATAGAAATCAACAAAACATATATAAAATAATAAACCAGAAATCACAAAAAACGACAATATAAAGCATTTAATCGGAAAAGTAAATAGTTAGAAAGGAAACCTTTCAGAGTGTGAATGCGGGATGCAAGGGCTTGACGGCGCACAATCAAGGGTTAGATTTCCACCATTCATTAATTCTCGATTTTTTTTTCCTCCCAAAATAAAGGGAGTCCACCCCAAAATTTAGGGTTTCTTAAAGTTACGGATCTATCGTGAAAATGGTTGATGTGTAATTGAGTTGTGGAGAGTGATTGGAATGGTATTTTTGGCCTCTTCTTATAGATGAGATCCCTCTTCAGAAATTTGTAGACCTAACGGCGCGACAGTGTGTGTATGTGAGAGAGAAAATGAGGGAAGGGAAACCCTAATCGAATAAATTTCCCGAATTACCCTCAACAAATTGGTGACTCTTGAAGATAGCCCCGACCTCCATTTTTCTCAAAAGTCAAAACTCATCTTCAACCACCAGACTCTCTTTCATGAAATCATTTTATAATTAAGTTCCAAAAAAAAATAAAAAATAAAAAATAAAAAAATCTGATCTATGAGCATGAATGACTTGCCGAAAAGGATGTACAATATATTCGATGTAGCGTTTCTAGGGATTAAAAGACCATATCCGAGATTTAAACAAAGTATATGACATTCTTTAATACTTTAAAACGACGAATAAATGCAAGTTAAATGCTCAATCACATTGAGGTGAAGCATTTAGAGAGGTATCGTTGTTATATTATTTCAATAATAATTTCAGATCAAATTCATTAATTTTAAGTTTTGTTGTCAACTTATATTTTATCTAAGCATATTTGAAAGTAGGGTTGGGCAAATCTTCCGAATCGAATCGAATTCGAACCGAACTGAACTGAACCCGACGATTCTTGTCAAATTAAATACCTAAACGGGTATCTGAATTGAGAACCGACGAATACTATTATGTTCTCGATTATAGACCAAAAATCGAATAAGAACTGAATCTTTCTAATTTTTTTTATATTGAATAAATCAAATTATTTTAATTTTATTTTTTTCTTAACAAATTAACAATTTTTAAATCCAAATTTTTGGTAACTCTAAACACCTACACTAAAGTGCATAATGCTGTCTCGACTCTCGCACTCACTCTTGCAGCCTCGCTGACATTCCAAAACCTATACAATCGTCAACCAACGCTGTGACCTCCGCCGACCGAAATTTTGACCGTAACGATCATTTGAACAAGGTAATCTACTAGTCTCTGACATTCCAAAACCATTGAATATGTCATTAGTTGTATTTATATAATATTGTTATAAATGTTAAAAAATTTAATTATAGTACAATACCGAACAGAATGGAACTGAACCGAACCCGAACGGTTTAATAATTATATTTGGACCAGATAGTTCCATTTACTAGATACTCGAAAATTTGGGTTCGATTCGGTTCTCTTTAGAACTGAACCGCGCCCATCTCTATTTGAAAGTGTATATAAACGATAAGTAGATAATATAAAAAGTTGGTTGAATATTTATAAACAGTTCGAACCAAATCGAACCGCGCCCATCTCTATTTGAAAGTGTATATAAACGATAAGTAGATAATATAAAAAGTTGGTTGAATATTTATAAGCAGTTTGTAAGCATGAGCCATACATACGCTTAATTGTTTGTTTAATGCTTCCTATTTTTCTTCTTCTTTTCAAGCCATTAGCTCAGATCCTTGAGTTTATGCTGGAAAATATTATAAGTTGTTTCTAGTTCGAAATCAAACATTATTATTTTTTAAATGCTATAAAAATGTTAAATAATAAAAAGAAAAGTACTAAGTTACATGAGCACGAGAATCAAGTGCACCGCTTGAGTTGGGAGAAATGAAAAGGTTTGCTATTTCTCTATACTACTAGTCTATGTCATAAGTGTTGTATGAGTTTTGTATTTATTTTATTTTTATTATTAGCATAGAAACTGCAGATTTTGCAAAAGTAATTGAAGATGTGAGATATTTGCCCAATTGTCATTCTTTTGTCGATTGATGTATTGTATGTAATTATTTGTTTAGATTAAAGGTTTTTTTTTTTTTTTTTGTATAATTAATGTAGATATGTTAATTTCTATAATGTTATAGATGAAGAATGGCTTTTATTTCTTTAACATAGCAAAAAAGTTGTAACTTGAATTTAGCAAAAAATGTTTTTCTTTGTAATTTTAATTTGAGAAGATGTATTTGTACTTTGAAAATTAATTTATGTTGATGCAAACTCATGTAATAATAGTAGCTATGAAACTCAAACAAGATTGATTCAAACCTAAGAAAACCAAGAATTAACGTTAGAGTCAAATCCAAAAATATTGAACCAAAGAGCCAATACAATCGCCGACAATATATTGATCACGTGATCACGAGACTCAAAAATCCCACCCAAATTGGTTGAACGCTACAAGAAGTAAATTTTGATAAGTTCGAAAATTAGTTCAATGAAGAACAAATTAGAAAGCAATTATGCCGCTCAAAAGTTAATTATTTACAACGAAAAGAATGAATCCTATTCATAGGGAACTTAATAAACCCTAGATAAAAATGAAATATAAGTCTAAAAATATTAAAATATATCATAAAAAAAGAGTTTTAACTAAAATAAAAGATTTCGTAAACCTAAATAAAACGAAATCAAATTCTGAAAATTATAAAATATACAAAAAATATTGAGCTTTAACTAAATTAAGAGATTTCGTAAATAAGTTAAAACGAAATCAAATTCTAAAGATTATGAAAGATACCAAAAATATATAGTTTTAACTAAATCAGCAGATTTCTCCAATTTATACTATGCGATCACATAGGCTTCCAACTTGCCTCCAAGTTTAAGTTCCTAATTCAAATGCATTCCAACTTGTTTTCACTCCCGTGTCCAACATAAAACTTGGTCTTTGGCTTGCTAGGCTATCATAGGGCAATTGGGGATGGCGACTAATAAGTGTAAATACAACACTTATTTTAATTATCAAAACTAGTTTATCGAAGTAATTTTATGAACGAAATATTTAATTATATGTGTTTATTAATTATTTAAGTAGTTAACTCGGACTTGGACGAGAACAGATGAAAAAGGAACGAAAATTAAACAAAGAGAATGAAACTTGAACATATTCTAAAAGTAGAGAGCCAAGGAGTCACATCTAAAAGTTAAAGGACCTCCCATGCAATACCGAAGGACTCAATGATAACAAGAAGGCAAAATCAGAGACCAATTCGTATGAAATGGAAGTTCATTGGCTGTTGAGACCACAACGATTTTCCTGTAATGATGCGATCACGTGCTAGGAGAAATACCATTATATCTCTCTTTCTTACCAACCAATATCTTTAGTGTCGTGATTTGAATACACGATTCAACAACTTGTGCATTTAAAAGTGTCCATCTGAAATATCTCCACAATATAATCAATCTCCCGTCCCTGCTCCCGTCTATCTTTGTACGTATATGTAGAGATATACATACAAGATTCAAGAACGCAAAACAAGAAGTACGAGTCTAAACCTCATTCAGACAAAAAATAATAGCCTATTTTTCTCCAAGATTACAACTTAAAACGTATGTTCCTGTCTTGTTACTCCAAATAGTACCCTCAACGACATTCCCACGGCCTACTATTTTTCTACCCCTTCTCCTCATTGTCGTCTTCTTTAATCCTACCTCTTTCTACCAAACATATATTTTTTTTTTTTTCAACCATCACTTTTTTATCTATCTAAATTTCCGGCAATGAATTTGGCTTAATCGTCCTATTCAACCATTAATTCTACACCAATTTGAGCACGATTTATGACCTCAATAATACATTGTGTGCTGTAGTGGATTTTTCACACCTCATGAGCGTTGGCAGATAGTGACTATGGCTTGCGACAGTCGTATATCCTATTTTGTGGATTTTTCACACCTCATGAGGTGATATGTCATATTTGATATGTTGGATTAGATGTGATTGAAAAAGAAATGGACAGAATTAATAAATTCGTATTTTCTCTTATATTGTATAATTGTATTGTTAGGTAGACATGCACAACCCTAACCCTAAAATGGACAGTTATTTAGCCCTGTGTAGTGTTGCTAAAATTAAAATTTTAATAGATTTCAATAAAAGTTGATGAAATGTGTTTTGAAACGTTAGTAAAAGCTGTAACTCTCATGAAATGGGATTAAAAAAAATTTGGGAAAAAATGAGTTTTAAAAAATGGAGGCCAAACTGGGTATTAAATTACAAAATTTTATGATATAATATTCCATATGTGAATAATCCATAATTTCACACATAATTAGGGGTTCTTTATATTTGCTAAACAACATATTAATAAACTAAGGATTATTCCATGATGCCCAAGTTGCATTTGATGAAATGTCACTTGGCTATTATGTACACATTATTTTAGTGATGTCAAAAAAACTCGTCCCACCCCAAACGGGTTAGCAGGGCGGTGTGGGACGAGGATATCGAGCCCCGAACTCGGCCTGTGAAGGAAAAAATAAAAAGAAGATT